GGGTCGACGGACCGCATCCGCTGCTGCCGTTGGGCAGCGACAGGATGCGATCGTTCACACCATTCAGCGGGTGCCCCTGCCAGCGGACACAGCTCAGCAAGAGGCAGGCGCTACCGCTGTTGGCCGACGGGTCGCACCCGCTGCTGCCGATGGGCAGCGGCAGGATGCCACCGTTGAATCCATTCAGCGGGAGCCCAATCCAGCTGCCCCAACTCAACAAGAGGCAGGCGACACCGCTGTGGGTCGACGGGCCGCATCCGCTGCTGCCGTTGGGCAGCGGCAGGATGCGATCGTTCACACCATTCAGCGGGTGCCCCTGCCAGCGGACACAGCTCAGCAAGAGGCAGGCGCTACCGCTGTTGGCCGACGGGTCGCACCCGCTGCTGCCGATGGGCAGCGGCAGGATGCCACCGTTGAATCCATTCAGCGGGAGCCCAATCCAGCAGACACAGCTCAGCAAGAGGCAGGCGACACCGCTGTGGGTCGACGGGCCGCATCCGCTGCTGCCGTTGGGCAGCGGCAGGATGCGATCGTTCACACCATTCAGCGGGTGCCCCTGCCAGCGGACACAGCTCAGCAAGAGGCAGGCGCTACCGCTGTTGGCCGACGGGTCGCACCCGCTGCTGCCGATGGGCAGCGGCAGGATGCCACCATTGAATCCATTCAGCGGGAGCCCAATCCAGCTGCCCCAACTCAACAAGAGGCAGGCGACACCACTGTGGGTCGACGGGCCGCATCCGCTGCTGCCGTTGGGCAGCGGCAGGATGCGATCGTTCACACCATTCAGCGGGTGCCCCTGCCAGCGGACACAGCTCAGCAAGAGGCAGGCGCTACCGCTGTTGGCCGACGGGCCGCACCCGCTGCTGCCGATGGGCAGCGGCAGGATGCGATCGTCCACACCATTCAGCGGGAGCCCAATCCAGCTGCCCCAACTCAACAAGAGGCAGGCGACACCGCTGTGGGTCGACGGGCCGCATCCGCTGCTGCCGTTGGGCAGCGGCAGGATGCGATCGTTCACACCATTCAGCGGGTGCCCCTGCCAGCTG